GTGCCCAAAAATGCTTCTGAATTTTCATTCCAGTGTTAAAAAAATGTTTTGGGGAAACTGAGTTTAAGACTGAAGTAATTATCAAAGTTTGAAACAAAAGGAACTGAAAATTGAAAATGCAAACTGAGAGAAATAAAGATCACAAGATACATCTATCCCAAATCCCTACATTAGTCCATCCCTCTCACCCTTCAGTGGTGTGTGTGTGTGTGTGTGTGTGTGTGTACAAATGCAACCCCCTCCCATCTTCTCATACGTCCCATGAGGATGGAAATGTGTCCTTCTCAATCTACACTGAAGTTTCTGAGCAAGTAGGATTGGGGGGGTTATAGAACTGAACTGCTAACAAAAGATCTCTATAAATAACGTGAGTGCATGGAAGAGAAAAGTGAGAATGAGCTCATGTAACAGGTTGGGATTTGCTGCGATACTGTTGTGGGTGGTTATTTGATGTTGAGAAGATAGCAGTTCAGAATGGGACCTGACCAGAAAGTTTAAGAGCCTGTGATAATTTTAGAGCAGAGAAAAAGCAAGCTTATTCAGCACCCAAGTTCTACTCAGACTTCCCACCAGAGTTCAGCTATAGACCTCCTAATTCAAACATATTCTGTAATGTATTTCCTAACAGATGATGGTATGACGTCATGTGACTGGACTAAAGGACAGCATCCACAAGGGCTGCACCTGGAAGACAAGATTGGATCTGGACCATCTGGTCCTTTTGACCGTGGGTTGACTTGGGCACTTTGGCCATTGCTTGTCCCACCTCTGTTCTGAAGAGAAGCCTCACTTTGTGCGCCACCTCCTTAATTTGTTTCAGGACAAGATGGGCAAAAACCTCTGCCATAATGTGGCTGCTTTAAGCAGAACACTGTAAGAACAGCTTTTGACTTAAGATGGGATTCCTGATCTGATCATGTTGCAAGTCTTTCTTACCCTTAGAAATGCTAATGCGCCTGTCTTGAAGGTTCTTCCTTGGACCTGTGAATGTTTTCCTGTCCTGAAGATTCTCCTTTTTGCATTGGGTGCTCTTAATCCCCATTGCAACCCTCTTGTTTTATTCTCATGTGCCTCTAGCAAACTGCCTACGCCATCCCCTACCCGATTCCCCACCCCTCCTCCAAACTGTGCATGCAACTGATAAGTTATGAAAGCGTCTTGTACAGATTCAATCTCCGCAGTTCCTTCAGGGGCCACCTACATGCAAAATGTGTTTCCTATATGTCTAAATAAACCAGAAATGTTCTTTTGACTGTGCACCCCCAGTGGACTTACTGTCTTTGGTTTGTCTTGTCACTTGCATATGGAAATGAACAAACATTGAAAAGGGTTGGTGGTTTTGGTAGAGTTGTTGAAAACAATCCAGCTTTGGTAGCCCTTCCTGCACTCTGCAGGCCCCTTTAAACTCCACTCACCAGTGCTTAAAATCCCTACAAAATAATGGAGCAATATGTCTGTTTGCAGCTAGCAACTGTGTCAGTGTCTCCAGGATGTGCAGGTCGCTTCTGTGTCAGGGATACTCACACCCAAAAAGCAAGAAAAGGAATATTTTAGCACACCCCACCTTCACAGGAAACAAGCATTTTTAGAAAAGGCATTCTTTAGCAGGCATCAGACCAAATCCTAATGCAAAGTTCCTGTGCACACACAGCTGGACTTTGCAAACCTCTGATTCAAACCCCATCTTCACAACTTGGGAAGTGAGTGGCTTTGATAGCTGATGAGCTGGCTGGAGAAGGAAGGGCTGGAATCACCCCAGTCACAAATTTAAGAAGCCATCACCTCGGGTGAGGAAGCCAGCTGTTCGGTTCTGTCATTGCCATTTTGTGCTCAGCAAATGTCCACTTTAGCATGAGGGCCACTGGCAAAACTCTCCACAACCAGGCTCAGATGCAAATTTCAGGGTTTTGCAAAGCTCGACCTGAGTGTGAGGTGAGCTTTGGAAGGTCCTCAACTTCTTATCTGGGTCAAAATTGAAGCCATAGGAAAATTCCTGGCTTCTCTCTTTCCTATCTCTGTCAGCCCTGGCCAGCCCTTGATGTCCTTCTTGGAGACTTTTACTCCATTGCTTCAAGATATCATCTCTCCCTTCCCTTCCCTTCCCTTCCCTTCCCTTCCCTTCCCTTCCCTTCCCTTCCCTTCCCTTCCTTTTTCCACTGTAGTAGCAGCAAGTGTCACACTTTAGGAGAGATTTTACAAGTTCCCTTCTTCTTTCCCTCTTTGACTTCCTGGCACACTGATGAACAGAATCAAGGCCTATGGTAGATAGAACAAGCATCCTCAGAGATGGCCAGGATTCCCTCAATGTTGCTCTGCTGCAAATCTCTTGCCCTTTCATGAAAATTCCCTTTCATGTCTGCAGTTGCACTCACTCAGCAAGAACAGGGGGTGTCAAGCTGATACCTGCAACTCAAGCCACCATCATGGAGTGATTTCCAACTCTCTGCAAATGCCCTGATTTGTGCCACCTCCCACAAAGCAATGTTCAGCAATTTACAAATATATTTGCCTGAAATCTGCTGCCAGTCACATTCAGGACTTTGGGCAGGGCATGTGGGCATGCTCTTCAAGCAAAGTCAAAGCTCCCACACATCCCTAGCCATGGTTCAAAGCCTGGTACCCCATGCAGGATGTTGTTCTCCAAAGAATGACTGGAAGGAGAGGAAGAATGAACCAACATGCTGCCATCGCCTTCTCTACTTTCATGATAGTCTTCAAGTATGGTGGGGAAAGACAGTGACAGAGGAAGATCTTCAAAGCTTGAAGAAATGACCAGGGTCCTTCCCGCTTGGAAGGGGGATGATCCACCTCCTTTCTAGGTTAACCAGGTGTGATTAGTAGAACTCAATCTCTATTCTAAATGGTTTAATTTTGCATTTTTAATCATGTTTGGATGAGTTACAGAGTAGGGGAGATGCTCCAAGGAACCCATTGCATAAGCACAATGCTACCACATGCACCATGTACTACAGAATGGAGCTCCATGGAATACGGTCAATTTGTTTGGGATCAGGGCATTCAATTACTTATTAAATGAATGGCTCCCCAAATAAATTGGAGCTATATTTAATGAATCATATAAATATTAAGAGTTCCAGTTTCTAACAGATCTGGTTCATATTACATTTTCAATCATTCATGTCTTCCAAGGTGCCCATTTATTATAATGTAGTCATACTAATCTTCTATGTAATTAATGTTCTAGTTCTTTTGCCAGATAAAATTAGATTTTTAAAAGAAATATATCTTGGTATTATTAGATATTTTTCATGAAATGAGCACTGAAAGTACCTGATTGGAGATTGATGTTTTAAACTGCTAAATCCCTTCCAGTGGTTATTACGACAGGAAGAAAAAGGATGTAATGGGGAAAGAGTTTTCCATAGGCCATGGATGCGTCCAGACAGGATGGAAAATAGAAACAGAGAAACAGAGTGAGTCAGAAGGGGCCTCCCGGGCCATCTGGTCTGACTCCCAGCTCCAGCCGGCTCCACTCATGATATGCCCACCATGTGCATGTCCAGCCTATCTTTGAACACTTTCACTGATGGGGCTTCAGCCACTTCCCGTGGAAGCCCATTCCATGCCTTCAGGGTTCTAACTGTCAGGAAGTGCTTCCTGGCATCTAAAGTGAACCTTGATTCCCTGAACTTGGCTCCATTGGAACTCATCCTGCCTTCCTCTGCAGGGGAGAACAGGACTCTACCCACCTCTGTGTAACATCCCCTCACATACCTCTATGTTGTCAACAGATCCCCTCAAAGTCTTCTCCTCCCCAAGCTGAAGAGACTCAGCTCCCTCAATCTCTCCTCATATGGCTTACCCTGCAAACCAGCCACCATCCTTGTGGCCCTACGCTGCACTGACTCTAACCTAGCTATATCCTTCCTGTAATGTGGAGCCCAGAACTAAACACAATCCTCCAATTGTGGGTGCACCAGAGTCATATAGAGTGGTAGTAATACCTCTCTCGATCTAGAAGCCACACTTCTGACTATGCAACCAAGGGTGGTGTTTGCCCTCTTGACCCCTGCATCACATGACTGGCTCATGTTTAGCCTGCTGGCAACCAGCACCCCGAGATCCCTTTCACAAGTGCTGCTCTCCAGCCACTTGTCCCCTAACCTGTACTGATGACCCCCATTCCTATGCCCCAAGTGCAAGACCTTGCACTTATCCACATTGAATGCCATCCTGTTGTCTCCTGCCCACTTCCATAGTCTGTCCAGTTCCTTCTGAATCTGGAGTACCTGCTCCTCAGAGTAAAAATAACTGTTATACCCTTTCCATCCACAGCTGAAACAACATGCCCAAACCACCAAAGCCTCCGATACTGATCCTTACAGAGGTCAGTCTATTCTGGCTCCATCCTTGTTCCTGTGTTCACTCAATCCCTTTTACATCCCATTTCTGCATTCATCTGTGATTGCATATTTAATAAACAAACACGCATCCACAGGAAAATGTGCATTTAAATACAGATTTAGTTATTCATCTTGCATGCATTTCCTCTCAAAATATGCATTTCTAATGATAGATCTTCTGAAAATACACATCTTAAAATGCAGTTTGAGACTCCCTTTGAAATGAGAACTGCATCACAATAGTCGGAGAAGTGTGAATTCTGACAGCGAGCTACGTGCCAGTCCGTGCGTGCAGCACGCTGGGATGTATGGATGAGATCCAGGCAGACTAGAAGTCACAATGGTCCATTCCCTCAAATTGCCGCATTGAACCACAACTGTATATTAATGTGGGCAGATCTCTTGAACAGTGGCACATGCAGAGAAAATTCTCCCTGTCTCAGCATGGACTTGATGAAGCCTGTTTCTTCAGACCAGAAGAGGCCGTTACTGTAACTGGATCAGCTGAAGCTGATACAGTGGAAGGAGGATAAGAGGGGCTCCCAGGCAATCATTGGTGTGTGGGTGTGTACATTTTTATTCTAATTTCATAAGCAAGCAAACAAAATCCCGCAAAAATGGAAAATGTCTTTATCTCTATTTTCCCATCTGACCCTTGACCTGAATCCTCCTGCCTGTCTTGACTGCCATGGCTTTCCGAATATCCAGAAGGGTCATTTTCTTGGTTTCTGGCAGAAATTTGAAGATATAAACAAAGGTGGCTGCTGAGATTGAAGAGAAGATTAGGAAGCTGTAGGCACCAAGCCGTGTCTAAGGATGAAAAAGAAAACATTTACAGGGAAGGAAGGATGGGGCGAAAGGGACAGGTATGACAAGCACAACATGGAAGTTTCTTCGTTCATCTCACACACATCCCTCTGATTTTCTTCTTCATCCTACACCAGGGGTCTCAAACTCAACTGACCTGGGGGCCGCTGGAAGTAGAGTCTGGGTGAGGCTGGGCCGCATCAAGTATTCCACCACCACCGTGGTGGTGGGCCACTCATCCTGCAGCTGGTCCAGGTGCCGCTGGCACTTTGAAGGCCACAGGGCCCCTTCCCTGTGCCCCGCCCGTCTGGCAATTGGCCCATGGGCCGTGAGTTTGACACCCCTGTCCTACACCTATCTTCCCAAATATCATTCCAATCTTTCTTTTTTCCCCTAAAGGACCACACGTGATGATGAGGATGAGGTTAACGATGACCCACACCTTGGGAAGGAGATATGGGGGTCAGGGTGGGCCAGGCAAGGAACTTGCACTGACAACCCAGCCCACTGCTGGAGGTAGTGACTTAAGATGGAGAAATGCAGATCTTATTCTGCTCTCTCAACGGGGCGAAAGTGGAATGCCAGACTACTCTGCACTTATACCAGCTTGAGCAATGCAGGCATTGGAACCAATTTGCCAGGCTCAGGTACTGTTGTCACAAATCCCTTCTTTCCTTCCTTGGCTGAATGTCTTTCCATACCCGAAGAACTGCCGGTCCACAGTTGGTCCCAGTTCCTAGACCAAGTTCAAGATCCCTGGAGACCAGACTCAGTTGATCATTCATAGAGTCATATATATCCTCAGTTTACAAATTCATCTTTCTAAGGTCTCATAGAGGGGCCTTTCCCAGGCCAGAGCTAGGTTCTGGAACCTTCTGCATGCAGGTTATGTGCTCTGCCAGGGATCTGCAGCCCTTCCCTGAGAGCAATAGCAATGTGGCCAAGGTCCTGCATTCAGATTTGTGGCCAAGTCTACCAATACACAATGCTGAAAAAATGGCATGGATCTGAGTTGCCTTGACATCCACCAGTAAGAAAATACACTGGCCTGAATTTTGAGGGGCAACAAATGATGATAAACCATTTACTCTAAGCACAGAGCTTCATATACAGTTGTTTTAGAAGAAGGAGTGGAGTTTGGGAATTGCTTTGCTTAACTTATTAAAACTACACACCAAATGGATCTTCTAAATCACATACCTCTACATGGAGGAAGGATACTCCCATAATGAAGCTCAGCAACCAGTGCACAAATTCCGCAATCGCATAAGCTGAGGACCGCGAGGATTGGAAGAATAGCTCTACTGTGACCACAGATGGGACTGGACCTTTGGGTGGAGAAAAGAAATTTGAAACATGGGATACTATTGTTGCCATTGACTCACTAACCTGCCTGCGTCATGCCTTGCGCCTCATCTAAGAAATCAGTTGAACACCTACTTGGCCCTAAGGTGTATCCAACGAAGTATGTATCAACAGCAACTGTGCTGATGTAGGTCATCACTGGGAAACTTGTCTGTTGGAGAAAATAATCGCTTCAGTCATGTGCCATTGATCCTACCAAATACTCTTTACCAATGGGAATCACCCATTCCATAGCTGAGCTGACCCAAAGATACAATGGAGATCCCACAGAACATCAATAGATCAATCCATGTGAAGTCTCCAGCCGTGGAAAATAATATCCAAGGTGTTCTTTTCAGGGAAGATCTTCAAGGAGGAACCTACATTTAAGCTCTCCTGTCACCTAGACTCAAGGTCCAAGATGCCTTGGCATAAAACGCAAGGGAATATTAAATTCCAAAGTAACTTTTCTCACAAGTATTTTCTACAGATGTAGCAATGAGGTGCATACCCTTTTCAAAACATCCCTATTTCTATTCTAGCAATGTGTGAGGAATCTGATGTAGGGGTGAGACCCAGTGGATTTTCATGATTCAGACCCTCTCCCACCCCCAGTTCCAACCAGCTGCTGCAAGTCAGGCCTGCTCATGGGGTTCTACCTCTAAGATGCACCTTGATTCATGCATTTTTTAAAAATCACACCTAAGAAATTTACATAAAATTGCCTGATTTGTGCAGAGTAGCACTCACAAGCCACAGGGGCTTTTTGCAGGTTGTGTGAATTACATTGGTTTTTCTATGCCAGTTTGTGTTAATTGGATTATTTAGGCCATTTATGCTAGATCCACATATTTTTGGGTGCCAGTTTATGCAATGTATGCAAAGTAGTGTGATGTGTGCGAATAGCATAAATTTCACCAACTGCACGATTTCCTTGTTTCTGTTGCAGCTGCTGCTGATGGTGGTGGTGGGTCTTGTGCAGGTACAAACTGCGACCCATCTTAGAAATGGAAGTCAGCAGAAAAATACTTGACCTGATCCATTTTTGATAATCAGACTGGAAGAATGCAGGAAGTTCACAAGAAGTGGACTTCCCTCATCAGCAGTTCCCTATTCTAGGCATAGCTTTAAAATATGCTCTGTCCCGTGCATTGAGCAGCTCTGCAGTTTGCTTGTTAGCTTTTGTAGGTGCATCATGGATGGTGTGTGGCAAGGATGTCCTGACAAAAAGCAGTGCTCAGTTCTGCATTTTAGCACTCCTCAGGGTTTCAGGTGCCAAACCTGCAGGTGAAGACTCATGGCTAATACAGCAGAGGTGATTGTGCAGATCCCAAAGCCGACCAGAAGCAGAACCCTCCGCCCTGCAATATCAATGAGAAACATCTAGGAAATAAAAAGACAAGGATGTATGAGAAAGGATGGGGTGATTGTGAGCCACTGGTGAGGAGAAGGAGGCAAGGCAATGGAGCCAGAACTGGGTCCAAAGCAGTGATGCTAGTGAGACTTAGAATTGCTTGTAAGTCAATAATTAAAATCCGCTATGTTTGGTATTCTCATAAAGATACTGCCTCCCTGGCACAGTTGAGTCTCCAAATCAAGGTTGATTAGAAGCATTTAAGTGTTCTGGAAGGCCCATGCATCTGGTCCAATGGCTGAAACTCTGTCTATGGTTTGTCTGAAACGCCATTTCACCAGCCACTCTGGCACAGGCACAGAAGTATCTTGCCCTGAGTTCGTGAAAGTTTACAAAGACTCCTTTCATACTTGCAGCAGTTTGATGGTTGCACCGGGGAATTGCACCTGGCATGATCACCTGGGCCTTCCCTGAAGCAATACCTGGCTGAGACGCTACCTTTAGAGGCAGCCTGTCTTTCTGGGAGCTTGTCTTCATGTGTACGTCAATGAAGAGGACTTTGGGTAGGAAGGAGAACAAGCTGGGCTGCTCTCTAGCAGGCAGCGAGAAGATCAGCGGCAGCTTAGCACGCTAGAGAACTTCCATCTGAGGTTCAAGAGGGGAATTTGGGAACTTGCAAGCAATTGGCAATTTCTGTTGGGGAAAATGAACCCATCATAACACCCTGCTTGGCTTTGGTTCACGAGTTCAAGTTTTCATACCATCTCCCATCCTTCCCTGGAGTTGATAGGATTGTTTGTCCAGACCACGTGGGGACGCCAAGTTGGGGAAGGTTGGCTTAATGTGCCCTACAGGATATTGGAGACTATAAAATGTGAAATGGGGGATAGCAAAAGTCCACTTTCCTAGGGAACTGGATAACTTTTGATTTCTTTAAAGCTGTTTGTATTTTTATGAAATGCTGCAATCCACTCAGAGTGGCTACTGGGCAGTATAGAAATGAAATTAGAAAGGGGAGGAGGGAGACAATGAGGATCTTAACATTCCTATTTTAAAATTTTATATCTCTTCCTTTTTCACCTAGAGATGGAAATGCTTAAAACCATTTTCAAAACCCACATTAAGAAACAAGCACAGAACAGTTCTAAGAATAGCAGTTAACTATAAAAGCTAAAACAAGCTCAAGGGATGTTAAAACATTTAACCAAACAATTCCTCAAAAATCCATATGCTTAAAGACTGCAACAGTGCAGTGTCAGGGTCTGAGGAATCTTTGCCAGCCAAACATTCCAGGAGCTGGTGAAGACAACCATGGGGCTTCTGTCTCCTGCCTTCCTAGGTTCCTAAGGCCAAGGAATCTGAAGCAGTTTTTCAAGGGGCAACTGGCTAATGTGGGAAGGAACATACAGAAGGCAGCGGTTCTTTGGTTTTCCAGTTCCCAACCCACTTAGGATGTGAAAAGCTATCATTAGCACCTAGATTTGAGCCCAGAAACAAACTGGCAGCCAGCACAACTTAATTAAAATGTAAATAAATCAACACAGAGGTGATGAAGCTAGATCAATGACTCGTTTAGGGATAGGAATCTGTCTCTCCCGGATTGTTGGCATCTTTCATCCTTTCAGCCACCCAGTTGCCGGAGTTATTTTTTCCATTCCCTGAACTTGCATTCATTTACACTTATGTAAATTCACACTTTTAAAAATGCACCGATTGCCCCAAAATGTGCAAATCCCCCCTTCCCTGAAATATGTTAGCCTTTGGCAGGGAAATGTGCATTTTCACTTGTGTTTTATAATGTTTCATAGTTTTCTATGAATAAGTTTGCATAAAGTTCTTGGAAGTCTCCCCCCCCCCCCACAGTTTGTGGAATCCATGTGACTTGGGAAAAGCCAGAATGCTGCAGAATCTACCAGTCAAATGCATAGAAATCCAAACTTATTGAAGATAAGTCCATTGGAGATTTCTCCAGCATCCGTGTAGATGTAGATGTAGCTATGCATCATTACAGAAAAATATTCTGCTAAGAGTATTGAAGGGGTGCATGCCTCCATTTATGCAATCAGTACCACAATAGGCAACTAGAAGCTTATGAAATATAAAGAAGCTAAAGGAGAAGCAAAGGGACATTCCTCTGTGTTTCTGTGGTAAAGAGTATGAGATCACTGTACAGCTTGCTTAGATTCCCAGTTTGTCTGGAGAAGGATTTTTTAAATTCCATCCTTTCCTTTCCTTTCCTTTGGGGCAAAAGAGACATCTGCCCTTGGGAGGCAGTGAAGAAATAGATCTATGCATAGGAAATGGTGTGCTCATTTCCCAGAATGGAAGAAACAAAGGCACAACTTCGTCTCAGTACCATTCGCTTCTATCTCACCCTGCATGGCCAATAGTAAGATGTTCTAGCAGCTGCAGCTTTCAACAAGTGCACGTTCCCAGCCTGGGAGAAATCTGCTTTATGGGGCTCTCTTACATACAGCACTCAAAATATACTGTATAAGACTGTGATTCTCAGTTTGCCTGAGGGATGCTGCAGCAACCCAATGGCATAAAATGGACATGGAGATTCTCAGTGCAGATCAGTGCTTCTGAGAGAAGATGGACTTAAAGGGTGAGAGAGAACTTACCGCTGTTGTGCTAGAGAGGCCAAGAAGAACTGTTGTGGCTATACTAATGTATCGGACATTGTTAATCCCCACATTGGTAGACATGTAGATCCTTTCGGTATAGTAGTATGCCTGTAATCAAGCCAGAACATCCAAGGGTCTTGGAAATAGCTACTGGTGGAGCAAAGGGATCTTGCATCTCTGTATTGTGGACATCAGCTGCCCTTTATCTTTCACATCCTAGAGAATGGAACTGTTTGATTGAGCTTCTTTCTGCCAAATTCCCCAGTTCCAGACTCTGTGCTTTCTTTCTTTCTTTATAAAATTTGTATGTCATCCATTACTTCCGTCTCTGGACAGCTTATAACATTAATCAGAATAAAATAAATTAACTATCCCACGCTGACTGAAATCTAATAAAAATACCAACAATAAAATCCAAGTAATACATATTAAAATATTGATCAAATAAAAAGGTCTTGATCTGGTGCTGAAAAAAATATAATGATGGTGCCAGGCGGACCTCTCTGGGGAGCGTATTCCATAGTCGGGGCGCCACCACAGAGAAGGCCCTCCTCCGGGTACTCTGTCTCCTGATCTCCTTCAAGGAGGGCTCCCAGAGGAGGGCTTCTGCTGTCGATCACAGGGGGTGGGAGGGCATATAGAGAAAATCTCTTTAGAGTTGCTATTTGCCTTTTCCTGAGGCCTACCAGACTATTCAGTGATTCAAAAATTATAGACAACTTCTGGACAGGGGCACATGGGGCTTTCCGTCCTGTCCAGAGTGCTGGATAGCTTCTGGATGTCAGTCTGGACCATGCTTTCCAACCTGGTGCACTCCAGATATGTTGGACTTTAATTCCTATCAGTCCCAGGCAGTATAGTCGGGTATTTTGGGAATTATGGTCCAAAGCAGCTGGAGTATATCACACTGGGGTAACCTAGGTAGATAATAGTGAGGTAGGTAGATTGGTGGGTAGAAGGCAGCTTCTTGTGTTCATCTAGAATTAATGAAAGAGTAGCATTCACTGCAGAAGGGGTCATTTTTGACTGCGGACAAAAGGGACTCAGGCCAGGCAAATCTTGCCTATGCAAGACCTTTGTACTGGAAGAATGCCTTTCCCAGGTCAGCATATGAATGGCAGTCAGCTTTCAGTAATCTAAGATGTAATCCTTCCTGAAGCGATGCATAACAATAAAACCTGCATAACAATGCCTGGTCTGTTAACCCTTTCTTTGCATAACAATAATTTTGCCAACTAACTTATTCTTCCCCTTAATGTATTTTAATTATTTTTGCTGGAGATTTTAGGTAAGAATCTCAGATTTCACGAGAGACCAGGAGGGCTTGCATGCAACCTTCCTTTGCTCCTTTTTTTTAACATAAAAGGCAGGAGGTGATATTTGGTGACTTTTTGGACTTCCGTGACAAAGTCCTAAAGCAAAACCCGGAGCCAGGGAGATTCCACTTCCCCTGAATGCAGGATGCAGAATAATCCCTTCTTTTCTTTAGAAGTAAAATACTGATCAAGCCATTTTAAGTCCAGGAAGAGTGTGGGTCTATTTACATCAAGATAAAAATAAAAATTTTAAAATGGCATATGTTCAAGAGTAATTATGCTTCCTGAAGGATTCCTCCAAGAGGTGGCTGGCCCTGTGCCAAGGGGGTGAGTGACGTGAGGACTTCCAGCGGCTTCAGCTGTCACCTCTGATGATCCCTCGTAATTGGCTATTCTGGGTGAGCACGGATAGGAGTCCTAGGCCAGAACATCTGGAAGGCCACAACTGGCTCACTTGTGTTTTCAAAAGCCCCCAGGGCTGCATGTTTAACATGATTTTAAAAACTGAGGAAATCGTTTTCCTTAAAAGGTGACTATTCAGTGATAAACACATTACCAGTGAGAGAGCCAGTGTGGTGTGGTGGTTAAGAGCATGGGACTGGGACTCAGGCGATCTGGGTTCTAGTCCTTGCTGGGCCATAGAGCCAACTGGGTGACTTTGGGCCAGTCACAGACTCCCAGCCCAACCCACCTCACAGGGTTCCTGTTGTGGGAATAAGTCTAAGAGCAGCAGGAGAACAATGTAAGTCACCCTGAGTTCTTTTTAAGAAAAAAGGTGGGATATACATCTAAGAACTGAACGAAGAAATAATCACCAATCCCTGATTTAGTGAATGCATGGTTGCCACGGATCCTTCTCCCACCCCATCTGCATGCAGCATCTCTCCCAGGCAACATCTGGTAAAACCAAACCAAGAATATCATCATTATATTCAATGGGTTGTACCCAGACTTACTTTGCTTTAGATGAGACCCATAGAAACCAACAGGGAATATTATTAATGACTAGTTTAAGCCCAATTAATTATGCTGGGTTCAACCTGTGCAAGACTAAAGCAGGATCCAGTCCAGGGTTTTATGGCTGCTTCTTGATAGTGAAAGGAAAACCCAACCATGAAGGCAACCACTTATTGGGAAGTTGTTACATCACAAAGCTTTCCTACTTGGTTTCATGGGGGCAGGGGGATGGCGCATCTGGAGACAAGGGGAAATAACATTTCCTTAGACCTGAATTTTGTAGACAAAAAACTTGTTTCTGTCCAGGGCACTTCAAATGCTGATATCTGTGGGATTGCCAGTGTCACCTCCAAATCCCCACCTCTGAGGCAGAAGCAAACCACTGTGGGACATGCTTCTTCTTCCCAAGATGGCAGCTTGCACTGCAGGCAATGAGGCAGCCTTTGGCAGGAGAGGGAACTGTGGGGGCAGCTCACCTCATGACAGGATTCCTATGGGATCCTTTCCATCCTCACTTGGAGATGGCACAGAATCAAACACTTTTTCCATGTATAGCATGTGCTGTCCCACAGGAAGTGCTCTCCCTTCACCACTCTGGGAAGGTTTTCATATCCGCAACAGTGTACAGAAGTGTATTTTTGGAAGTGTACCGCTGTGCAAGGGTGCAGTTGTAAACACAGGCTTCAGAAAAGGAACATGTCCACTCCAAATCACTCTCCCGCTTGTGTTTGTCTTCGGTACTGATTGTGTTTGCACCGTTTGGAAGCAGTAATAAAATTCTGATGTACTCTAATGGGTACATCTTGGTAAGTTTTGGCAAAAGTATCTGAAGGGCACCCAGGACCTAGGGAGGTGTGCCTGGGCATGGAAGTATTTTGGCCTTCCCCAAAACATATCATCCTTATTTTTCCTGGCTCGATTTACATATTCATGCGTTTATTACATGGATAGCCCACCTTTTCCCTGCAAGCCCACATAATTCTCCTCCTCCCCTCCCCATTTTATCCTCACAAAGCCCCATGAGGCAGTTTAGATGGACTTGCCAAGACATCCAGCAATCCTCAGGACTGTGTGAGAATCAGAACCCCATCCCCGCACGAGTCCCAGTCCGACACACGAGCCCCTGGGCCATGCTGACTCTCCCGTGGCTGAATCCTTTGCAATAGTTTGCCTTCCTTACCGCACTGGCACCAATGAGCTGCTGGCCACACATCAAGACAATGATTGTGATGACTTGCCATCGTAGGTTTTGGCTCCAGAGCACTTTGAGTGAATTCGTCTGCTTTTCTGACTTTTCGAAGATGTCTTCTTGACGGAGCTGCTCGATCTCAGAGTTTACATCTTTCGTTCCTCTCAGTCTCTGCAAGACTGAAGGGGAGAAAGGCAGGCTGGCTTTGATTCAGAACGGGGTGGCCAAGGAGGCTGGGCAGATTTACATGACCCACATGCAGAGAGAGGCTCAGGTCAGGACCATGGTGCAGTTTCCTTTCCCCCATTATTTCTATCCCACACTGATTGGGCCCCACTTGGCCACCAGTATGCCTTCGATTCTTCCCTCCCCACAGCTAATAAAAAGTAGATGTTTACGTTCCGCAGGGCAGAGGGCAGGTGCACATGAGAGGGGATTTGAGTGTGTCTGTACCTATGAACCCCAAAAGAGCAGCAAGGGAAGAGGGACGAGAAGTTCTGTCTAAAGATCACCTCTGTTTGCACGTGTAGCCCAACTTGGTGGAGATCCTTGACCTCTTTCCTACTTTCACACAACTACTGTGCCCAAAATATGCTTTGGGAACGAGAATGAGGGTTAAACCAGTTCAGTTGTCTGGAGAAAACCAAGTCCATGAGAAACTTTTGATGGATTTGTACATGTTTATCTTGGAAGAAAGAAAAAGTGTGGCCCTCAAAAATGATGATGATGATGAGCTTCAAATATCAACAAGTCTGTCATGCAGAAGATGGAAAGAAAAATGACCAAGCAGGTCTCAGCTGAACATTACGAGAAACATCCTAGTAGCAAGGGAAATACCACAGGAGGTGTTTGATTGGAGGTTAGTTGGCATCCACCAGGGATGCTTAAACTGCATCCTACACTGGAAAACTTGTACCAAGCAAGGGGCTGGATTAAGTAATCTTTGCAGTCCTTTCTGAATCTACATCTATACTATGTTAACAGAATGGCATGAGAGCAAACACTGCATGGTAACTTTATTTGTGTCTATCATTTTCCTTTCTCTCTCTCCTGAAATCCTTTCCTTTATCAGTGCTCTCTCTCTCTCTCACTCTCTCTCTCTGTCTCTCTTTCTCTCCAATCTGCATGCACAAGATGTCTATGTAAATGCCCACCAATGTATATTGATGGTCCTAATGTATACACTGTTGTAACGTTTGCAAATACATTTACACAGGTGCAAGATGTGCATTTATACCCTTGTATCCATAGTAACATGGGGGTATTGGTCACGGAGGTGGGAGATGAAGATTCTTCAGTCTGACCTGCTACTGTTTAGCATTATTATTGTGCTATTATTATTTATTAAAACATTTACATTAAAATATTTTTATGCCACCCCATTCGCCAAAGCCTCGGGGCGGCTTACAACAATAGGTTAGCATGAGTATCGATTTCATTTCTATGACATCCAATAGTTTCAATTCTCTGGGCAGTACATTGCCGTGTATGGTCTCCACCTTTATGGAATACCATTTAGAGCCACTCTACCTTTTTTTGCTTTGTCTTCATCCCTCTTCTGAATCAGTAGGTACCTAGGACTTTCTGGGTAGAAAGGCACTAGGAACACCTGTGTTCCTGGTATGATCCCAATGAGACCCATCAGCATTGGCCAACCTGTGCAGAACAATACAGGGATGACCCAGGTACAATGGGAATCCAGTGATAATGCTGCTTATCTGCTGCAACCCAAAGGATGTGCCATTCTAAAATTACCTTCTTTTGTCCCCAGGATCTCGCGAAGTGCCAATATCTGTGCCAAAAGGACACCAGCTGTGACAAAGAGCTGGGATATCATCATAACACTTCCTTTCAGGCTGTTCGGGGAGATTTCACTGAGGTATATAGGGACAACACTGCAGAGTATGGCTGGTTAGAAGATAAATTAAGGGATCATTCACAGAATGACTATGACAAGATACACAGAAGCATATGAACACCTTCACAGATAAGACCCAGTGGGGGGTAACCATCACAACATATACCCAATGAGATGCCCTGTGGGGTTCTGCATGAGGACTGCAGGCTGAAATTAAATGAAGATAGGATATTGAATATCAGAAGTATGATGAGATTGCCTAGGCAGACTTCATACCAGATCTCTCAAGATTGGAATTCACCTCCTTTGGAGACCCACCAAAGCCAGAGTCTGTACATCTGGGTACCCAGGGATGTTCTATTACTCCAAACGTCATTCATTGAATTGGCAGAGGATGTATGGCAAATGGATTATGCAGAAATAGGTCAATATTTCATTTATTAATTGGATGAATTAATAAATGAATAAAGGAGCCTGTTTTCAGTCCATGAATTTAATGTGCCATTTTTAGTTGGTTCTATACATTCTCTAACACAATCGTCCAAAGAGTTGTAATATCAGCCCTCCCTGATGTGCCATTCCTGTCCTAAGATGCACAGTCTCAGAAACTGGAATGTGTGAACTCGAGATGCATTGCAAGTGGATCTTTCCAGGATCTTTTGCTGCAAGGGTTCCGACCACTGATGAATCACACAGCTACCGCATTTAAGAAAAAGAGCTTGCCTTGCCAATAACATGATCTGCAGTTAAGAAAACATCAATGCTCATGTTTCTCCCCCGTGTGCATGCAAATCCTTTCTTGGGATTGCATCTCACACTCTTCACTTTCAGTATCCCTGATCCTTTTATTCAAAGGGCATACTTTCCAGCAATATTTCAGATGGGGAAGTTTAATCATAAATAAATAAATGAGGCATGAAATCTATGAACCTAACTCACCGGTGCATATTCCAAGAAACAAGCGTGTAAACATGATGTATTCATAGGCATGTATCAAATTGGAACACCCCATGAGGATGGCAGAGACAACAGACAAAAGATTACTTATCATCAAAGAATTTTTCCTGAAAAGATAGTGAAAGGGGCAAGAGGGACAGAGAGATGCCAGTGCATATATGGTAATATCCAAACAGGAGGAAGAGGATCTACAGAATTTGCATAGAACCTCTTTGTTTCTTGGGTAATTTCTTCCAGTTATGGAACAGTAAAGCAAACTACATAATTCACTGAAGCTCCAACTCCCAAGTGCTCATTTATGCATGAATTTTAATTGCCGTTCTTTTAAACCACCCAATAGCTGAAGTTCTCTGGGCAATATACAGTATATTATTTTGATATCTTAGTCAGATGCTTTATTTCACTTCCAGACAGACATTGGCCGCACATTTTTGTAAGGACTTGTCCTAGCTGGAGAAACAACTGCAATTAAATTGGATAGGATTATCTGGGATTCAGAAGCTATGTTCCCACCCCCATCATGCAAAATTGTATGAATTGGTAGAAAGCCCTCATTTTCAGAGGCAGATTCCAGGAGCAGAACTAGATCTTATCTTATGATTTGGATTTCTGCCCCAACCAACCCACTTGCAATATTTGATGATGTGACAACACTGTTTAAGACTTTCTCCCAGATTCCTTCCAACTGATTGAATTATACTGATTTTTTGGGGGGCGGGGGGACTCTAAAGGGAATGAGTGTCTATTTCATAGATCATACTGTCAGGAATATCAGTGGCAGCCACATTGTCCCCTCTTTACATTGAGCGAAAGGGGAACCTCTGGCCCTCTGGCACAATATGGCCTAGGAAGATTGCTCACCTGACCCCCCCCCCTATCTTCTGAGCAGTTGACTGGAGAGTATTTTCTCCCTGGTAAGCATTGAAAAAATCTCAGCAAGGAAACAATTGACTCAAGGACAAAGGAGAGCAAACTTTGGCCTGGAGTCTGAATGCAAGACCTTGGACATTTTTGTGCCCCATACTATCTGTAGACTATTGCCAAAGCTACCTAAATTACTCTTGAAAATTTGTAGTGCAATGGCAAACCATTTTTTCCCAGTCCCAGATGTCCCAAAATGGGGGGTCGTTTTGCTTGAAAAGATGGTGGCCAGAGGGCCTTGTGCCCATCCCTGCTCTTGCACATGTAGTTCTCCATCCACAATCTTAACTTGATACCTTCCCAACCTATCCAAGATGTGGCCAGCTGCAACGGCTCCGAATATGCCCCCGAGTGGGAATAAAGCAATGGTGACAGCCGTGAGGAATATCTGAGAACTTGAGTCCGTCATGAATTCAGAAATTGTAATGTTATAAAAGTCTTGCATGAGCTAGAAGAGAAGAAAAAACATACTGGCATGAGGACTTCCCCACACATCACCTGGCTGCAAGATGATGATGAGGATGAGGATGGACTAGTATATATCCAGGCAGACATTTGAAAGGGAGCTCTTGTCAGTCCTGCCTGCTCAGTCATAGGAACGAAGGGCCTCTTTCAGCCCAATATGGAGGCATTCTCAAGGGCAACATTTCAGTGGTGGGTGAGGCCAACAGGAGAAGGAAAGGAACCAAAGAACCAATAGATTTTAGCTCCAAGCTGGGGGAAATTTACTTTGTAAAGCATCTCCTGGTTGCTTTACCTCCATGAGGATCATGCCTCCCTTCCATACAATAAGAACACCTGTGATGTTTAAAAAAAGCACAAAAGGGGGCAGGTAAACCTCAAATCTTGGAACACCTGAGTACGATGTGGACCAGATGTACAAAACGTCCCTCACAAAGAAAACTGAAGCATATCCAGTGACCCTTGCGTAGAGGGGTCACCTCCAAGGCAGGGCCATCTTACCACAGTGGGAGAATAAACTATCCACATATTGTAACCGTATTGTATGGACATGGTGCTGGAAGCCACAGACACGCACATGAGTCTCCAGGAAAGCTCCTACAGGAGAGAGAAGCAGGCAGTGGGAGGTGGGCTGCAGAGCAAAATGGCTACATCCATCAATGCCTTTCTGTTTACAACCAAAAGCAAGATTTCTGAACAGAAGAGAGAGGCCAGATGTTCCGATAGGGAGTGCGGTGGTGTTAATGCACAGTGCACATTTTTATAGGTTTAGTAGTTCGAATAGACAATGTCCCCACCATTCTCCTTGTATTTGGGACAAAGTGTGTGGGGGAATGATTCCACTTCAATGTCATCCAAAATTAATTTGAGTGTCACAGCTGGGATACCTGTTTGTCTGTTTCTTGCACTCAGTCAGTTCTGACATCAGCAGTAGAACTTTCATGTATTACTCCTGTGTAAGGCAACAGGAAGTGGGACTGAACCAGTAGTCCTACCTCTGATGTCTCGGCTCTCAGTAAGCCCTACCCCTCGGCGGGTGTGCATATAAATGTTGAAGGAACAAAGGACTCCACTTTTTTCTCCACCTCTTTGTTGTGTCTTTTATGAACTCATCTCCCCAAGAAGCCTTGCCAGGCAGGTATTTGAATGTCCTTCTAGGTTTTCTGTCAATGATGCACAACATTTTCCTCCTCAAGGGTCACAAGTAATGTTAGCTTAGAAGTTAGGAAATGGATACATGTCCACAAGCATTCAAACGTGTATGCACACAAATCCCCGTGATGCTAATGCTCTTAGAAACATAGAAACAGAGCGAGTCGGAAGGGGTCTCCCAGGTCATCTAGTCTGACCCCCGGCTCCAGCGGGCACCACTCCTGACATGCTTTCCATGTGCATGTCCATCCTATCCTTAAACACCCTTACCACTGGGACTCCAACTACCTCCCATGGAAGCCCATTCCATACCCTCGGGCTCCTAACTGTCAGGAAGTACTTCCTGGCATCCACCCCAAATCTTGGTTCTCTGAACTTTGCTCCATTGGAATGTGTCCTTCCCTGTTCCACAGGGGAAAACAAGTCTCCACCCACCTCTGTGTGACACCCCCTCATGTACCTCTTAATTATTATTAAGAATAATTACATGCATTTTACCTTTTCCTCTTGCAAGGAATGGAAAGCAGCCTCCAAGGTGAGCCCATGTGCCCCTTAACCTCACAACACCAACCCTGACGGACAGGATAGGCTGGTCCAAAGTTAGCCGTGGGGCTTCGCAGCTGGATGGGAAGTGTAACTCGGCTCTTCCAAGTCCCTCTCCACTGTGCCCCACTGGCTCCCAGCTATTTGTGCATTGTTGTGTCTCTGTGCATGTATAGAGGGTTTGGAAGCTGCATTACAGGGTTGAGGGAGCTCATGGGCAGCAATTAAAGCTCTGGAAAGCTACGTGGATTTTTTTTTTTAAATATGAAAACAACAGTAGCTGATTCTTTGATGTTTTTTATCCTGTTGCTTTGTTTGCTGCTGCTTTATTGCTTATTTAATTAGATTGTTGTTTTTGTAAATTCATCCAAGAAATGACAGATCAAAGGGCAACATTTGAATGTTATATACCTATTTAATGTTTTATATTATATACTACATGGACTATACATACTAACTACATGATATAATACTGCCTAACTCTTACATAGATGCTAGCTCTGTATGCAGGCCTGAAAACAATTAAAGCATCAAGGTAGATTTTTTTAGTGGGGATTATAAACACTGAATGGACAAGCCATCCTTTCAAGCTCACCATGGGCTTGGGTCCTTTCTCCTTAGCCGTGTCTATGCTTTGAGCTCTCTCCATGTTCTGTCAGGTTGAACCATCAGTTCACCTGCAGAAAAACAAAAGAGCGAACCTTTACCTTTACCACCTTCTTTAAAAAGGGAGGAATACCAGTGTATAATCAGATCAGCATTATGTTCCTAAGAGCATGAAGTCAAACAAATTCCCCCAGAACACCCCCTCAAAGCAGTTGGACCTAACAGTCATCCCTCAATGTTGGTTCCCCAGCATCTGGATTCAAGGTAAAGACTACTCCTAAATATCGGAGGTTGTCCCACTTAATGAAATCCTTGTTGATAGAGTTTCCTCCCTCAATGAACTTTCCATCTTTATTGAAAAGATATCTAAGCTGATGGGCATCACTCCATCTTTTGGTAGTGGAAAGATTGGAAAGGAATTGCTTTGGTCCTTGACCACTGAACATTTCAACAAAACCAGAAAGCAATGGGAGAATTCATCTTACCAACGAGTAAGAGAAAATGCAGCCAAGTCCTATTTCCTTTTGAAAGAAAGTCCTTGGAATGCTCAACAGCAGTGCAGTATCCAATCTGGGAAGAACATTGGGACATTCCAGAAGAAGCTGTTGACAGTTGGAAGTTGAGATGAGTTGCACAGTCTCTGTTAAGAAAGGTGACTGGTTGAATGCCATATTCCCACAGTGATCTTTCAGATTAGTTACCGGTACATTAGAGCCAGAGTAACAAAATAGAAAAGTGACTGAGCTAGGAATTCAGCAAGTCCTCAGCCCAAATCTCATACTGCTATGGGCAAACATACCCTGCTTAGACTACTTCTCTTTCAGTCTTAACTCCTCCATCTGTAATAAGGGGTGTTACCAAATTCAACCAGTCAACAGCTAGGGCAAACCCAGGTGGACCCCAGACCGGAATCAAAAGCAGCCTGAGACAAGAATTAGAGGCAACACCAGATTTATTCTAGTGTACTATAGAATGGAGGGAGACAAAAGGGGAAGTTCAGCCCAAAGCAGTATCTCAAAAATTGCACCCTGGTCCATGCACTTTTTACCCTAGGCAAGCAATTAGGTCACCTAATACACTTCTCATGCATCAGTACATCAATGTAGCCACACCCCACTGCTGCTAACTTCAAAAAGTCCTTTCTTCTGACAAGGACCAGACATTCCCCATGTCTATTTCTTATCAGCTTGAGATTCGCACAGGCTTGCCATGTTCTAACTCCCTGCACATTTGCAACTTTCATGGTGGCTATAACCAGTTCCCACTGTCCCTTTGATTACTGTATTCGAGGTCAGACTGGCTTGTTCGCTGTGGGTTACACAAAGTTCATTTTGTTCTTATCCCCCCTCCCTTCTGGGACAGTATAACTGGTGTTTCTACTATGTGGCCTCCCTCTGGCCAACTATTCTTGGGGCCTTCTTCTAGCCAACTACTTTTGGGGTGTTTTGGGGTGCTGCAATTGACAACAGGGGGACACCAATAGTAGCTTGATGTATGGATCAGTAGGTATAATTTAGACAGATCATCAGGCAATCATTGACACATAACCAGGCCAAAGAAAAACCCTCTTTTCTAGAAATCAGCATCTTCTTTGGTTTGCAAGTGGGAAAGATCACACCACTGTAACTTTTAACTTTTGTGACCTGTTGGAAAGGGTTAACTGTGTTACTGAATGATCAAAAAGGTCAGCTGCGGACTGCTCAGGTGCACCATCCGCAGTGATTCATTGGGAGCTGGTTATTCTCAAGAATAAATCTTTGGAAAGAACTCGGAAGCTTAAATACAGCAAGAATTGTGCCCCAAAACACAAACACAATAAACATGAGCAGGTCTAGGCCTGCTGTGTCCCAGTTCTAAGCAGGTCCTAGGCAAGGCTGTTGTTGTGTGTCACCATGCCATGTCCGGCTTATGGCAATCCTGTGAATGGCAGCCCTCCAAAAGTCCTGTCCATGACAGCTCCATCCAGCTCTCCCAAGTTCAAGGCCAAAGCTTCCTTTATGGATTCACTCCATCTCATATTTGGGCTTCTTTTTCATCTTCTGCCATAGACCTTTGCTAACTTGATTGTCTACTCACTCCAGGCTTGGCACTGGAAACACACAGATGTTAAGAGCTGTGAATAATGTCCCCAAACCGGGCCTTCTGAGATCTGTTTTTTTTTGCACAAAGGCTATTTGGAGTGAAGAAGTGTCTGTCTGTGATGTGCATTAGCTTTGTGTGCAAATCTCTTGGACAACATTGAAAGCCATTACCTAAATTCTCCCATGCCTGTGCACAAACCATCATGGGGCCTTTTGTTTGGGAGTGGGGTGTGGGGAGGAACGCACTGCGTCCAGCAAGGAATACGTATAATGTGTGTGTGAGAGAGCGATTGCCCTCCTTCCCTTTATCAAAGCTGCTTCTTTATGATAAGAACTCCAGAGCACCGGGATTAGGAAACTAGGCGGAGAGACCATGTTTCTTCTGCTATCAGTCCCAAGGCATGGATTCATTTCTCCAGTACTGAACTGGAGAAGACACAGGAGGGGTTAATGTGAGCAGGTCCCTTCTGCCACAAGGCCCTCTGTTTCCTGGGAAAGAGCACCCCGGGGGCATGAGCAGAGGGCCTTTACGTGGCAAGGAGGAAGTGCATTTGTGGCTTCAGAGCTGGAACTTGGACTTCTTGGATGGTTTATTTCTCCTTGGGGCTTTATCCTCTTTGCTGAGACCTGCCTTTTCCCCCTCCCTAAAATGATTTTTTCCCCAACCACTTTCTCCATCCCATTAAATTGCCTATTGAGAGTGGAGGCTGTTTGAGGGTGTATTTCTTACTGTTTGAATGTCGTTCTCCTCCCCAACCCCACTTAGGCCAATGAGGATAGAATCCCCTGGCTTCTTGACATCATATCTGGGCAGCCATAGGATTCTTTGGACGCCCAGCTCCAGGTTCCTATAACCTGGAACTGGGACTCAGGAAGCTGAGTCCCTGCCCTGCTGCAAGTTCCTGAAGTCACAACTGATGGCGGAGAAATGGTGGGCAGGAGCTGTGCCAGTTCCAGTTGGTGCTCCAGCCTCCTTCCCTCCCCAGTCTGGGCAATAAGTCTAGAAGTATTAAAGGGATCTGCAAGGACTATGAGACTGTAAGAAGGTGAAGAAAGCAAGGGCTGATTCCTCCAATTCTTCCTCTCAATGGTCAGAGGATTGGGATGGGGAGAAAGACGCTGAACATGAACATTTCACTGCACAGATGGGATTTGGGGGCTAGGTTTGGCTTCCTGGATCGTGGCCCATAATACCAATATGAAGGATTCTTTGAGGACTATAAGGATGCATCTCATGGGATGCATCTCATGAGAAAAATATTTTTGTGTCACAAGCTTCACTGTTCTTGTGGGACACCTTTATTGATCTGTACTGGGAGACAAAAACTGCATTTGCCCACCACATGTGAGCTGAAGGAGACACACACTGGAGTTCTGTTAGAGCTTGTGAGATTTCCCTAAGGGACAAATCAACTTCAAATGCATGTTTGCTAACACAAAGGGCAAAGGAAAAATGCGCTAGTTAATGAGAGTATGCAAGCTCAGCTAGGAAGTGTAATTAAAACAAAAGGGCACATGCACTTTTACAATACCCAGCCCTCAACACCCCGAAGCCAATGTGCCTTGGTTTAATCTGATTTGAAACTTGCTTGTTCGCTCCCTGAGAAGAGCTGGTGCAACCAAGATGAGGCTCTCCCCTTGCTACAAGATGAGAGGGGTTGGCTGTGGTTGCCTTGGGGCAGAGGCCTGGGGAAGCATCCTGCTGGCAAAGGAGGAGATGGCAAGTACTACTCACATTCAAAGTCATTGAAAGTTGTGAAGGCTCATGGTTTGTATAGATTCTCAAGCTATGGAAGGGACCAGCGCAAAGTATCAGCATGCACTAGACTCTATCCTGGGATATCTATCTATCTATCTATCTATCTATCTATCTATCTATCTATCTATCTATCATCTACCTACCTTTCTTCTTTACTGCCTAGTAGCAGAAGCTTTCTGAGCTTTTTTATGCATGCTGCACAAGGGATTAAATGTCATACCCTTGCATGGAAACACAAAGTGAATGGAGAGGACCCACTTGGGAGACCCATGTCAGAATTGTCATGCACATGTTGGACAGCCTCAACATGTTGTTCATCCCACAGGCAGAAAGCAGGATTTGCTGAAGGATTCAGAATCTGCTCGCTATGAATGGATGCACCACCAGACTTGCCATCCTTCCTTAGTGTGCAACTCCACTTGATTGGATAATGTTCTGCTCTTGCCATCCATACCAATCCCTGAAGGAACAAAATCCTTCTCGTTCAACTTCTTTCACCTTGCTTTCCAGGAATGGTGCTCTTGGGTGGCACCTCAGGGTGACCAGCTCCTTCCTTCGTGTCATGCATTTTTCTGCACACCTGCAACATGCCCATGTGTGTTGTCCATAGGCACATGGAAGATGTGCAGAGGAATGGGCATAAGACATGGGTTTAGTCACTGCCTTGCTGATGTCTGATGGAGATGCAGAAAGGGCTTGTGATGTGTTCTTGATGCCCATCTACATCTCACTCTCAAAAAAAAAAAAAAAAGGTAAAGAATACACTGGATCAGCAAAAGTATTTTCCCATTTCACATAGACCAAAATGTTCCTGATTTTGCATACTACTTTGAAGAGGATGACGAAAGGAGGAACTTATGGATTTGTCTAAACAAGCGCTTTCAAACACCCACATGCAATTCATGGGAACAAAGAACTGTCCAGAGAGCTTCAGCTATGAGCAGCATAGAATGAAATAAGTAAGAATATCAACGAATAAACCCATGTCCCCAAACTTTTGCACCTATAAATTCTGCTTTCTTTAAACAGTTTCAGCACAAATTTCTTCCAGATTTCTTCAAGTGGATTGTTTTCTGGTGAATTTTCCTTTTGTTGACTTATTTCCCAACCATGAGCAAGTTTTCCCACTAAATCGTAATTAGTTAGGTCTAAACAGCCCCATTTTATATAACCATAAACCATGTTCTCCCCCTGTTACATGGGTAGAAGGAGCAGCTGCTCCCACATGTTATGGGTGGTGGGTCAAAGAACTTCAGTCCTCTGCACAACTCAGAAAAAAATGCCCCATGACCATCACAAATCTTCTCTCCCTTCAGTCATTGCAAGTCAGGATCAGTGTACCATCCTTGGTCCTTATTATGGAGCATGACCATCTTTCCAAATGTCAACAGATGATCCATCCATGGCTGGTCCTTCCAAACTATTATAATCAAGATGGCTTAGACTTAGATGTGTGCCACATTTCTTTATTGTGACATTCATGCTTTCCCAGCAGGAAAGTAAAAGAAAATCTGAACATCAATAACCCCATGATCATGAGGTTGACAGAGGGGAAACAGTTGAAGGATAACAAGAGGAGCTTGCTTGGAATTACAAGGGTTTAAAAAATCTATATATATAATACCAAAGGAAGGAAGGAAGGAAGGAAGGAAGGAAGGAAGGAAGGAAGGAAGGGGTGAAAGCAGCAGAGAGAAACCAACAAAACATTTCCTGGTAAAAGGATTTCCCAATTTCTATTTCCCCCCATGCTTCTTGACTTTAATTCTCCTGGAGGTGTGTTTTGCCATGATTCTCCTGATATCCATATATGTCTTTTGCTTGGTTTCTGGAACAAATTTGAATATGTAATAAAAGGTGGCTATGCAGATTGGCCAGAAGATGAAGAAGCTGTAGGACCCAAGACGATTCTAGAGATTCAACGGTAAATATTTACAAGGGGAGAAAGAAAGAGACAAGCATGGAAACAATTAGGGAAGCTTATTTCTTGATCACACGCCTCTCCTTTGTGGCATTTTCTCCCGGGAACTATAGAAGGAGCTGTGAAGGGCATGAGCAGACAGGTAGATGGACCATACATTGTACCATGAACTTCTGCCCTTTCCCCCCACAAGCCTGTTCTGTACCAGGTTTTGTGTGGAGGGTGTGCGTAGGGGTGCACATAAAACCATATGGATTTCTGTACCCATTTTTCAAAAAGTGTGCACTTTGGCGCCCATTTTTGAAATCATAGACATCATTGTACAAATCCACGCATGGATTCAAGTCCATTTAAGCTCCTTTTAAATTATTACTACATTGCATTTCTATGCCACCTTTCTTCCCCTGACGAGGAACCCAAATCAGCTTACGTAAATCCAATTTTCCCTCACAACGCCAGCTCTGTGAGGAATGTTGGGCTGAGAGGGAGTGTGACTGGCCCAAGGTCACCCACCAAGCTTCATGGCCAAGTGAGAACTAGAACTCAGGTCTCTCAGGATTCCAGTTCAGCATCTTCACCATTATACCACACTGGTTTGCTTAATGAAATACATTTTTTCTTTGGCTCCTTTTCTAATGGACAAGGTTCATCAGCTATGGGGTATTTCTAAGGCCCAGTTTAAGGTGCTAGTGATGTCCTATAAAGCCCTAAACAGCTCAGGGCCTGGTTCCCTTAAGGAGTATCTCCTTCCATATGTGCCTGCCTGCCCCTTGAGATCTGGGGAAGACACCCTTCTCTGGGTGCCCCCCCCCCCGAACGAGAATAGGAGGGTGACTACCCAGAGAAGGGGCTTCTTTGTGGTGGCACTCCAATCATGGAATTCATCCCTCAGAGAGGTTCACCTGGCACCATCACTTTATTCTTTTTGGAGCCAGGGCAAACCCTTTTTATTTCCCCAAAGTTTTAAGATCTGATTGTTTTAATTGGGATTTTATTATTAGTTAAATTTTAGGATGCTGTGTTAAAAAAAATACTTTTTTTATTGTCAAACTGTCCCGAGACTTCAGTAATGGGATGGGCTATAAAATATTTAAATATATATATATATATATATATATATATATATATATATATATATATATATATATTGAGTGAACAGCAGCACAACCCCTAAGATGCACAGACTTTTAGATGCAAAAAGCAGCAGCTCTACCTCGGTTTCCAGAAGCTGAAGACTGAAGAAATCAGTAACAAAAAATCCAGGGCAATAACCTCCATTCATTCCTAGGATGGACTGGGCTACATGACATGCCTCCACTCCAAAATACTACCCAAGTTTTTTAGAGAGTGACTTCATATGGAGGAGCACTGTAAGCCAGAGATCAGCCCTGTTCACCACACAGGCAAAAGCTGAAGCCCAGTGCAGAGTTTTCACACTATTGACCAGACTCAGAAGCTGCTGTGACATGTCTCACCATCCCTGAAGAGGGTCCAAAGAAATGAACGCATGCAGTCCATAGTAGGTCCTGACCTCATGCAGCTGCAATTCTTGGTTCAGGTCCCAGTTCCCCTGAAAGCAATCCCCCCTCAGCATAGATTTGAACATATTGTTCTTTCATTGATTTGGATGATTTCCCCATCTTGTTCATGTCAGGTAGAAGCTCTCCAAGATTTCAGAAAGGGGCCTTACCTTGGCTGGTCTGGAAACTTCTGCATTCAGAGTTTAGCTTTACCAGTAAGCTACCCGGGCCCTCCCTTAAGAGCTGGAGTGACCTGCCCAAGGTCCTGCATTTGGTTTTGGGCATTTGTTTCCTATGTCTGCCCATTCAGCCATGCTGCAAAAGTTACCCTGATATCCAAGAAAACACATTGGTCTGAATTTTAAGGGACAAGGAACAATGGTGGAATGATGTTTCATACTCTTCTTCTTTGGTGGCAGAGGAAATTCGTGAGACGTGGCTCCCTTTACTTCTGCAAACAATGTGCTCCCCACAAAATTGATTCTCAGATTCACTCACCTGTATCTGTAGGAATGACACTCCTGTAAGAAAGCTTAGGAACCACTTCGTGAATCCTGCAATCACATAGGCTGAGGCCCGGGATGACTGGAAGAATATCTCTACTACAAGTACTGATGGAACTGGACCTTCAATGGAGAAAGAATTTGAAACATTGAAGCACTGAATACCATTGTCCCCCTTGACATTAATATACCCTATTCATCTCTTGCTCTTCATCCCAGGAACCCAGTACATCAATCATCTGAGCACTTACCTGGCCCTAAGAAGTGTCCGAAGAGGAATACGTTAACAAAAAAGGCACTGAAATACTTCATCACTGGGAAGCTTTCCTGTTGGAAAGAGATAGGCATATCTCACCTGCATACTGCTAATGAGGTCAGTAAGTTCTATTGAAAGGGATGTCTCATATTTGTAACGGTTGTCCTTTATTCCATGGAATTGCTAGCCCAGGGCAGTCAAAAGGTTCCATGGACCATCAACAGATGTGAAATCTTTAACAATGAACTGCAATATTTAAGCACCTTTCACAGGGAAGGTCCGCAAATAGGAACCTAGTATTAAGCTCTCTCATCCCCAGGTTAAAGGCCTTGGCACAAAATCCAAGTGAACTGGATTACTCCAAATGCTCTACAGTATTTTTTTTTCTTTCATGCATCTTTTGCAGATGTACCAATCAGAAGCTTACCCATTCCAAAACATCTGTGTTCTATCTAAATAATAATAATAATAATAATAATAATAATAATAATAATAATAATAATAATTCTTTCACATGTATGACTATCTTTCCAGTTGGCTTTTGGGCTTTGTGGCACTATTCAACACACACTGGGATGGGTGTTGGGGACTCACAGCCCTAGGGACCAGTTCCTTAAGTTATTTTTAATTCTTCATTTGATCAACACAATATTTTTTAAAAAATTTCAAACCTGAAGTTCGAGGGTCATGGTTAGCAAGACACAGGTGATGGTGCAACACACAAAGCCTATGAGAATCAGAACCCTTCGTCCTACAGAATCCGCAAGATACATCTAGAGAATATAAAAAATCGCAATGTGTTTGAGAGACAGAGGCCATCATGGGCCAAGGATTTGCAGTGAACAGAATAATAGACTCAGACTTGGGTTTAAACCCCTGCTCAGCAGTGGACCAGGGGTTAATGTTTAGGCATCATCTCTCAGCTTAACTCAGGTTTCCTCAATATGATGCCCTCTAGAATTTTAGAATTACAATTCCTATAATCCTGGACCATTGGCCATTCCAGGAAAGACAGTTGTACCTCAAAAATCTGGAGGGCACCAAGTTGGGAAGGCAAGCTTAACTTATCAGATAGAATTCTGGTGAAGATAGAACGGGATGGCAGAGAAAACCCCATCTCCTCTGGAGTAAAAGAGACAGTGCCCCATATGAAACAGTGGAGATTGTAGCTGTCACCAGAGCAGCCATTTTTATTTCCATCTCAGAATGGAAGAAACAAGACAGGATATTTTTAAAGTTCAAACTTGTTTTCCTTTCCATCAGGTTCTACCTCACAGGAACTAGGCAGGGTGGATACCTCTGTGGCAGCATCCCCCAACTCAGGTGCCTCCAGATGTAGATGGAAGTACAGCTCCCATCAGTCCCAACCAGCATGGATGATAATCAGCAATGATAGAAACTGTACTGTATGACCTCTGTAGGATCCAAGCTTGGGGAAATTTGCTGTATGAGGATCTCTTAGAGAGAACACTCAAGAGAAGACTTATGAGTAGCCCCTGTGGCACGGTGGTGAGACTGGGGATCTGGGAAGACCTGGGTTCTACTTCCTGCCTGACCATGAAGCTTACTGGGTGACTTCGGGCCAGTCACTCACTCTTAGCCTAGCCTACCTCACAGTGGTAGTTGTGAGGATACAATGGCGTTATGCAAGCCACCCTGGGTTCCTAGCAAGCGCTAAAAAGAGCAGGATATAAATGGCTGCTTTGAGGGATACTAGAGCAACTACATCGGCAGAAAAACAGTGTGGATACTTTCAGTGAGGATCGGTCCTTCCAAGAGGTCAGGGGGACAAGCTTCAGGATTTAAAGGGGGAGAAAGAAAGCTTACCGCTAATGCACCTGTCAAGCAGAGAAGGGTGGTTGTGGCAATACTAATGAATTGGACATTCTCCATTCCCACATTTGTAGCCAAGTAGATTTTCTCTGTATAGTAGTACGCCTGAAACCAAATGAAAGCAATCGAAAATTGTAGCTCAATAGAAGAATCAACTGGTGAGGAACCAAACTTTTGAGGAGTTATGCTAGAATAAATGGGTTGGTCTTACAGGTGCCATAAGATGGTTTAGTGCTTTTCCTGCAAAAGACCAACAGTTACATGACTGGAAAGAACATACAAATGGAAATACAGAAATTAACCTAAGGAACCACACAGTACAACACAGAGATAATAAGAGAAATAAGCATCAAATGGTCCCCAATAAAGCAGGGATGTTACAAAGTCCTTTCCCACATACCCAAGACCAGGAAGAGGAGTGCTTCCAAGAAGGACAATTGTGCTTTGAGAACCAGGCAATGAGCCTTCAACTCAAACTTTTTCCTCCATTGTATCCCATATGTATGGCCAGTCATTGTGCTGCAAAGGATTTATAGAATGCTTGGAATGGCTGCGAGATGCTTTTTCTAAACTAAAGCCTCCGTTTTCAGCTTTTATTGCAGGGTTGGCACTTTGGGATAAAGAAGTGGGTTTTGGGTGGCAGTTTGAGCACTCGGACTCTAAAATGTTCAACTTCATTGGGTTAGGGTTACAAAAACGTGGAGTCCTGGCATGGTTTTCATGGTTGGAATGTGCTTAGAATGGGAAGAAATGATGAGCAGAGCAGAAAAAGCTACTCAAGGAAGGCTTTTTCAAAATTGGATTATGTCAAATGGAACTGAAGTCTTCTATTAGGGTTAGGGTTGTGAAGCAGGGTAGGGTTAGGATTAGAAAAATGAGGTGTCCTGGCATGGTTTTTATGGTTGGAATGTGTTCAGAATGGGCAGAAAGGATGAGCTGTGCAGAAAAAGCCACTCCAGGAAGGCTTTTTCAAAATTGCATTATTTTCAATGGAACGTTAGTCCTATATTAGGGTCAGGGGTGTGCACCAGCCGAGGGTTAAGGTTAGAAAAATGTTGTGTGCTGGCATGGTTTTGATGGTTGGAGTGTGTTTAGAATGGGCAGAAATGATCAGCAGTGCAGAAAAAGCTACTCAAGGAAGGCTTTTTCAAAATCACCCCTTTCAATGGTATTTTAGCCCTATATCAGGTTTAGGGGAGTGTGCCAGGGTAGGGTTAGGGCACTGCTGGGGAACCTATGGAATGCATGCCACAGTCGGCTCACAGAGCCCTCTCTTTCAGCCCGTGAGCCAAGTCGCCCCAGCATCGCCCCAGCAGCCAAGCATCGGATAACAGCGCACATAGGGGCCATGCGCATGCTTGGAAAGGAGTAGTGGTGCAAGATGATGACATCACAAGCTGCAACTCATTAGCTGTGATTCATCTGAGTTTTTGCATGGCTGGTCAGTGCACTTCCAAGGAGATATACACACAAACACACACACACACACACACATGCTTGGACTGGGTGTGAGTTGTTTTTTCTAAACTAAAACCTTGCATTTCCTGCTTTTATTGCAGCTTTGGCACTTTGTGATAAATAAGTAGGTTTTGGTTTGTAGTTTCGGCACTCGGTTTCTAAAAGGTTTCAGGCATTAGATGGCTTTCAACCGTGGAGAAGCATCAGGTAAGGAGAACAGTCCCTCCAGGGTTTTTTTTCCCCTTGTTTTTTCCTAGAGACACTCAGCAGTAAAAAATTTGGTGTCACAGCCCCTGACACTTGCATAGACCCCCACATCAGCCCTATGTAGATTAGACCCATTCAGCTGAAAGAGTCTCAGGCCTTGTTTCAGTGGGTCTACTCTACATAGGACTAACACTAGACACTACCCCTTGATTGTGTTAAAACAAGCATCTCCGATCATCTTGCAATTTTGTGACGGTGTTGCAGGTACTTTTACAAAGCTGCTGTCTCGGTGAATGTGATGTGTTAAGGTCACTAACTTCCATTTTATTAAAGGGACCTGCTGATGTCAAAGACCAACACCCATACAGCATATAGTCAACATTTACAAACTCTGCATTGAGAAAGTTCCTGAGGGTATTGGGTTGGGTCCCCACTAGGGATGAGTCAAAATTCCACGGAATCCACCCCTCTAGCATTGCTGGACTTCCTCTTGAGCTTCACCCTGCCTTGGAAAGTGAGCCGAGATGAGAGGAAGTCTGCAAGGAAAGTTTCACAACTGGCAACTTTCTCCCATGGCACATACAGCAGCGCAAAGGCTGTGCCATGTGGCCCTGAAGAGAGATACTGCTTGCACCACTGTTGTGTGGCTCAGTTCCTGGAGAGTGCCATGCAAATGTGGGTCACATTCACTCGGAACCGGGGCTGACAGGCATGTCCAACCAGACTGGCATCTGGGAGCCTATGGGAATCTATGGATTACTCATACCTGTAAAAATAACCCCTGGTTAATTCCCAGGTCAGCCTCTAACAGCTTGGGACAGGCTTGCCTCCCTTACCGCATTGAGGCCGGCAAGCTGCTGGCCACTCATCAGGACAATGGTAGTGACGACTTGCCTCCGCAGGCTTTCTGTCTGAATGAGCTTCATGCAGGTCATCTCCTTTTCTGCTTTCTCTGCGATGTCCTCCTGACGGAGCTCCTCCATTTCATCCTCCACATCCTCCTTATCTCTCAGCTTCTGTAGAGCTGAAGGGGAGCAGAAGCAGAATAGCTCTGAATAGGGCAGGGGGGGCCCACTGAGCCATGACCTGGGATTGGCACAGATTTTTTGCATGCAGGAGGTCCCAGCCTCAGTTCCCTGGGGTCCCTCTGCTACCAGGTGTTCCCAAGACTGGATTCAACAGACCAAGAGACACGCAGCTTCTTATGGCCTTTACATCTTATGCTAGGATGAGTCTCATGTTCCACATATAGTGTTGACCTCAGTGAAGGACTTTGGGACATCCTCTTATGCTCTCTAACTGCTGTACTTTAGGAGTAATGGAGTATTTAGAAGCTTTCACAACCACCATCTTAAATTCGGCTAAAGCAGGACTTTGTAGGCAAGTTGAGACATTATATGGGTGGCCCAGTGGTCACTCCTCCATTGCCCTGTCCCACATGCCTCTCTTGCTGTAAACAAATCAGCAGAACTCAACACCATTTAAGGTTTTCTGAATTCCTACTGAAAGAACATCATCACCATCAATATATTTCATTTCTCTACTGCTCCACGGCTGAAGCTCTCTTGGAGGTTTACACAATCCATAAAAACAAAGGATAAAAGTACAATAAAATATCATAAATATAAAAAATATTAGAAAGTTTAAAGTACCTAAAAACAGACAACACATGGAATAATGAAAAGAGTCACTTTTCAACACCCGGGGATCCCTGTCAAGCTCATGGGTAGCCAAGTAAGTTCTTAAAAGCCTCAGAAAAGAGGATCATCTTAACATGGCACAGAAGAGATGAAAGGTTTGGTGCCACAGTGGGGAGGTTGTTCCATAGATGGGGTGGGGGCAACACCAAGAAAGCCCTCCTCTTAGTTGCTACCCTCCACATGCAGAGGAAGTCCCCAGTGGTCAAAAGTACTGAGCAGATTGTGGTTGGGAGCTGCCCCAACAGGTTTTGTGGCCCTAAGCCACTTAATGAGTACCTACGTCCATTTTTCTTCTCTCATGAAAGGGCATGTGTCTTTTTATGCATTTCCCCATTAATTAATTGAGCACTTTTTGCAAATGTAAGCCTTTTGCTCCAATGGACTAAGGCACATTTGGGTGCATTTTTCAAAGTAAATCTTTCTTTGCATGCAAATTTTTGAAGTGCATGGGTGTAGCTGAACTGAAACCAATGTCTCATATATCTCTGGGCTTGACTTTGCATCTTCAGGTCCTCTCTCCCTGAGCCAATAATTAGAAAAGGCAGTTGCATAAGGCAGGGGAACTTGCTCTGTGTGTTTGCTTCTGGAGCAGGCTTGTGTGACCAACACTAAAGCAAGCAAGCGCTTCGTACTGTCAATCTTGGAAGCTAAGCAGGGTCAGACCTGGCTGAAATTTGGATGGGTAACTTAAATGTTGAGAATTGCCCTGAGAACTTTGGCTAAGGGTGGTATAGGAAACTAATGGGGGAGGAGGAGGAGCAAAATGCCAAATTCCTCATGCCCTAAAATTAACTTAAATTCTCCCTTCCTTTCTTCAAACTTCAAGTGGAGGAGATTTCTTATTCTCCAGAGGGATGCTTAGGGATGGGTGATTTAAATGCTGTGAACTGCCCAGAGAACTTCAGCTATGAGTGGTACAGAAATGCAATGTAACAACAACCAACAAAGAGAAATCTCCAGACTGTCAAACTCAATGGCAGCATTTTGAGATGGTTGGTGCTAGCTTTGCCCGCTCCATGCCAAGATGTCACGTTAATTTGGCTTGCAGCAATGCTTTTGGCACACTTCATTTTGGAGATCAACTCCCCCAACTTGACAGCTGGATTTCCTGATTCCTGCTCAGGCAACCACATGCTGCCCCAGTGAAGTGACCCAGCACACCCTGCAGGAGCACCCCATGGATTCCCAATATTCTTTTAAAATGAGCACCGGAAGTTATTTTTAATTTAGCTTTTAGTCCCATTCATGTAAACACACTTGCCCTGACATGCTGGCTTGATATATACCTATGCAGAGACATAGCTATGCATCATATAACCTTGCTATATGTTCGTGTCCAAAAGTAGCATGCTGCATTGAGACTTTTCGGTAGACATTTATACTTACATGAAATGTTTATTTAGGACTTTGTATTAATAAAACATTGGGATAGTGATGAACTGGTAATAGAAGAATGATGATGTCTTCTGACAAGGACCGGTGGTGAGAAAACCTCTTCAGGGTTGTTAGCACTGCTGTGCCCCAAGTCCACAGCTACACCTCTCAGTGTGGGTTAGAGCCAATGTACCTTGTCTTGCTTTCTCTTCATCCCCCTTCTGAATCAGTAGATACCCAGGACTTTCAGGGTAGAAAGGCACTAGGAACATCTGTATCCCTGGTATGATCCCAATAACACCCATCAATATTGGCCAACCTGTAGAAGGACAGACAGTCGTGATGCAGGTACACTGAAGAGCCTTCGGTCATGTATCGGACCTTTTCCAACCCAAATGTTTCATTTCTCGGAATTACCTTCTTGGTTCCCCAGGACATTGTGAAGAGAAACAAATCGAGACAACAGGACACCAACCGTTGTGAAGAAGTGGGGCATCATGACAAGGCATCCCCTCAGGTTTCTTGGGGAGATTTCGCCAAGGTATAGAGGGACAACACCAGAGAGTATGCCTGGGTAGAAGATAAATCAAGAGATCATTCACAGTTTGTGTCTGACAAGATGTGCAGAAACCTGTGACTATCTTCATACTCTAAAAAATTAACTAGCTCCCCAAGAGATGTCCTGTGGCATTCTGAAAAGTGCCACTCTCTCTCTTTCCCAAGACGCATAAGAATCCACTGAAATTTCATGACAGGACGCTCTTTGACAGTAGTGGAACCAACCAACATTGACCAGTTCATCCTGCTTCTAGTCTGATTATTCTTTGCTTATGCATGCATGTATGTACATTTGTATGCATGTGCTTCATTTTCATGCTATCCTATAGCTGATACTCTCTGGCAGTTTACAAAAGTTAAAAACACACAAACAAGGAGGAGGGAAAAAATAGCATAATACAATAAAAAAAACACAGCAATTGCAACCAAATCAGCACAGAGGCAAAGCAATTGTACAGGATAAAATGCAACATTAAAGCTAAAGTTTAAAAGTTAACTGTTAAAATACTGGGAAAATAAAAGGGCTTTCTGGAACTGAAGTTTTCTGGTTTTCTGGAACCTGGAACTGAAAAGAATACAGAATAGACACCAAGTGTACCTCTTTGAGAGCCTGCTCCACAGGAGGGGATCCACAACTGAAAAAGCTCTCCTCCTGGTAGCAACCCTTACTTCCTTTGAGGGGAATCCCAGGGAACAACCCCCAACAATGAGCTCAGGTTCCAGGGAAGCACATACGGGATGAGGCATTCCTTCAGACAGCCTGGTTGTTCACGGAATTGGATGTTAATGCTAGCACTCTGAATTGGGCCTGGACTTCAACTGGCAACCAATGCATCAGGAAGAGGTGCACATGGTGGGCACGTCGTGAGTGGAGCCGGCTGGTGCCGGAGGCCAGACTAGATGGCCCGGGAGGCCCCTTATGACTCACTCTGGGTCTATGTTTCTAAGAGGACTGGTATAATATGTTATCAAAGGAGGGGTTACCAGATCATGGATTACTGCAGCTAGGCTTTGCCTGTCCAGACAGGGTTGTAGCTGGTATAACAGCTCAAGCTGATAAAAGGTGTTCCAGGCACCTCACTGAGGGAGAGAACATCCTCTTTAGGTTTGCTTGTGAGATCCATTCCAGCTGATGGAGAAGTGAAGCAAGGATATCTATTAGCACCTTTTCTTTTAAGTTTTTGGCTAAAATTTAAGAGACTGGCAGAGCATCGTTGAGCAAAATTAAGTGACCTGGAAAAACTGAGTTTGAAAAAATATTGGTCTCAGAATTGGCTGTGTTTATTACATACATTTGGTTATCTACAGCCTCATTTCCTCCAGGATAATTCTGTCCTAGCTAAAAAGAATTTAAATAATGCACCAGTGACATATTTTTTTCAGGTAGATATTGCTTCTCTTAAGACAGTAAAGATATCTTCCTGTTATAAAATATATATCAGGACCAGAGGACAATTTATTTAAAATTGAGATGTTCATTTAGAAGAACGAACTCAGTCTTGCTAGGTTTCAGTTAATGCTTTCTATAGTCAATGGTAGTCTAGCCAAAGCACCTTATCACTTGGTCTTTGCTTTGGTCATCGTGGTTTAGATGAGTTTGATGAACTTTCTCATTTGTTTAATTGTTTTTGGACATGAGACACTGGGGTAAAATTGCCTGCTAAAAATTGAAGCAAACAGGCCAGTTTTCCAGAAGATAAACTTACTCTATAACAAGAATATAAAGATCTTCAGAAGAATCATCACTTTTCTTAATGGAGTTAGCTAAAGTCTGAACCAAAATTAATAAGACAGATGTGATAGGCATATATACAGATACTTCTGTAAAAACTGAAAATTAGTACCAGGAATTTTTTATTATTAATTTTAGTTGTCAATTTGGAGCTATTAAGCATTTTCTTTGAAGTATGTCTAATCATTGGATCATTTTCACTTGGGCATATTATGGATACTTGATGTCCATAAAGTCTGATGAACATTAAAACTGAAGTGAACCTGAAACTTTCAAAAATGAAACCATTGAATCTATGAACTGGGCATACCTGCACATATTCCCGTGTACAAGCGTGCAAACATGGTGTATTCAAAGGCATATATCAGATTGGAACAACCCATGAGAATAGCAGAGACGGTGGAAAAAATGCTGGCTATCATCAGAGAATTTTTCCTGGAAAGACAGGGGAAAGGAGCAGTGGAATGAGAGAGATGCCAATGAATATACAGTACTTTTAAAATGCACAGGAGGGAGAGAAGCTGTGGGATTCAATATGGTGCTCATCTATAGATCTTTTTTGCTAGTTTTGCCAGTTCTGGAAAAGAAAACAGGCTACCCAAGACACTGGAGCTCCAACTCCCAAGCTCTTAAATCTTATTCAGCCACCTTCTTTAGCTTCAGCATGCATTGCACACACATTTTCAAAAGAGTTAGAAACCTGGTTTTGGTAGACCTGCCATGTTGGTTCTTTCAGGGTATAGTCAGATGTACCAAAACAAGGAAATGTGATTAATTGGAGCTCAGCAGCTTTCTTGCCTTGCTTCTGATATGCTGATTGAAAACAGGGCAAGTCAACTTTTGCTTTGGTGTTTTTATTCCTCCCCACACCCTAGACTTCTGTTTATAAGATAGACTATCATTTGCATACCTTTTTCAAACCATTAACTTTCACAAACAGGCATTCTTGTGTAACTTTAAAGCAGCACCCCAAAACCACATGGTCTGAAAAAAGTACCAAAAAAGATGCATTTTTTTCAGATGCAAAACAGCACCCAGTAACATGGGACTTGACACTATTACCTCAAATAGTGCTACTTGCATTAAAGGTGCCCGCTTTCCTAGTGCCTGTTTGCAACACTGCTGTGGCTGTCCAAACAGAGGGTGCAAATCATGATCCAGCTTATAAATGGACACCTGTTGAGGCAGGTGAGTACCAGTGCATAGTCAGCTAACCAGAACCCAGGAAACGAAACCAAGAAAATCCAGTGGTTTTACACACCCCAGACAGATTTTTCACACATCCCAAACTCCTGCACATGCTTAGAGAGAAAAAGTCTTGCAACTCTAGAAAATCTAGAACCCTTTTCTTTCTGGCCATGCATAGGATGGCGCCCTTCTTGCAAAATGCTGTACCTGAAATATTCTGTGTGAAAATACTTCCTCTGCCATTAAGCTAGGGATTTCTTCAATAGTATATAAGATAGGTTTGGATTCTGCCCTAGTCATTGAACCAAATGAACTTAATTTGGGTATCAATAACTTGTGTAGGACTAACTTTGGAAGATTTGTTAGTCTAAGTAAATTTTCATTAAATGGTTGAAAATCATCAGGTATAGGATTTCCAGAAGCCAGTCTGATCTTACAGGAGGCCTCTTTTCCTCTCCTCAACACCACCTCCCATGTTTGTGTCGTTATGCACCATCAAGTCATCTCCAACCTACGGTGACTCTATGCATGAAAGTGTTCCAAAACATCTTATCCGTGACAAAGTTGCTCTGCTCGTTTAAACCCAAGGCTTCATCTCATGTCTGCTTTTCCTGTGATGTTTAATAAACGCTTAATGTAATGTGACATCACTGATCTTTCCTTCCCCCAAACACCTTTCAGTTGGTTGAATGGTGTTGGCAGTGAGAAGGGAGATGCTATAGGCAATGACACTGTGCCTTTATTAGATGATATTATGGGAGATACGGGCCAGATGCAACCACATGTTTCCTTCTTCTCACTGCCCCATTGTAGGGAACTTCTGGATCATGGACCAGAAATGGTCTGCAGGGGTTCCCCATCTAGGCAGTCAGCATCTTCTCTAGGCCGTATCCACTCTCCAGGCAGGAAAAGCATCTTATTTCTATATGTAATTGATCAGGGATAAGATATTTTCTCTACCAATCACTGAAAAAGGCTCCTATTTTCAGACCTTAGAAGGGAAACATTAAGCTCTAGGACCATTCCTAAGGCTATTTATATACCTCCCAAATGTATCCAGCAGACAGCCAACGGTCAGTGCTCCAAATATCCCTCCAAATGGGAATAAAGCTATGGTGATACCAATGAGTAACATCTGAGAATTTGGCTCTGTCAGCTCCTCAAATGTTGACTTGTTGTAGAAGTGCTCCAGGAGCTAGGAAGGAAGCAAACCACGGCCAGCATTAAGACCCTCCCACACTTTATGTGGCAGCAAACCTCATCCCTTCCAAGTCTATTGGGTGGTTTAGACATGAAATTATCTCTCTCTCCCTCTCCAGGAACCCTTGAGAGGGAAGTGCTATCTCTCTGCCTGAGCACACTGAGGTGACCTGACTCATGTGTAAAACTTATCATTTACAATGGAAGCTGGCTGCCTCAAATCTCGCTATGTCCATGTGGCCAGGACCTGCATCGTTTCAACCTGACGTCTGCACATGGGCATAATAACTCTTGTCCTGGAGGCAGTGCAGAGCCATCAGGACTAGTAGCCATTGGCAGGCTTCTCTGGCATGAATCGGCCCAACCCCTTCTAAACCCACTTAATGGGTTGCCATCACTGCTTCATGTGGCAGGTAATTCCATAGTTTTAACTATGCGCTTATGTGCTGTCTGAGGAAGTACTTTCTGTTATCCATCCTAAAGTTCCAACCAATCAACATCATGGGATAAGCTCGGGTCCTAGTATTCTGGGAGCAGGAGAAAAATGACTCCCTTTCCACACCATGCATGATTTTAAACACTTCTATCATGTCTTCCTAACTTACCTTTTTTCTAAGCTAAACTATCCCAGATGTTGTAACCTATGTAAATGCCTCAGGGTAATCAATGGACTTCTAAGGCAAATCCTTAATGAACAGAAGTTCTCTACTCTTCTCTGCTCTCTCTGCCAAATCCCTGAATTCCTTTATTTCACTACAGCCTCTCTTTTACTGACTTCTTACCCAGGACACATCTGTAGACCTATCAAAAGCAACCCTTCCCCTTGTCGTCATCTTCTTCCTCTTTCTTTCTGTACAATGTAAGAACATCCCATTGAAGATTTAGCCTATACTAGATGTGGTTTATAACTGGATCAGCTGCAACTCAAGAATGATGCTGTGGCATTTATGTTCATGTTAGGGAAGAGGTTTTGAGGGAAACCAAGTGGTATGGGAGAGAAGGAAATTCCACATACATGCAGCATTTGCATGTATGAATGTCAGAGTCATTGGGAACATTCCATATCCCATACGTATATTGAGAGTTTATACAGGAAAGAGTCACAGGACTGAAATCTGAAAGCCGGTAAGCTGCACCCTCACAGGCCCATTCTAAAGCCAAGGATGGCATCATGCAAAATGAGAGCCAGTGTGGCGTAGTAGTTAAGAACATGGGCCTTGGACTCAGGTGATTTGGGTTCTAGACCCCACTCGTCCACGGAGCCAACTGGGTGACTTCGGGCCAGGTACAGACTCTCAGTCCAACCTATCTCACAGCATTGTAGTTATTGGGAAAAGACTGAAAGGAGCAGAAAGATAATTATTTGTTTATTTATGAGATTTATTAGATTTCTATCCTACCTCTTTCTTTTTTAAAGAATTCAAAGTGGCTTAGGTCATTCTCACTATTATGTGAGCAGCCTTGGGTTTCTTGGAAGGAAAAATGGCAGGGAACAAATGAACAAACAAATGAATAAAGGGCACATGTTAGAAGCACAATATTTCCCTGTTAAGATAGAGATGGTTGAAATTTATTCTAGGAAGTCGACACCACAATTTATTATTGTTTTTCTGATTTGCCTAGCAACTTTTTTCTTTTAAAAGGAACCAAGGGCACTTTCAAAAATAAGCAAATAAAACAGCTAAATTGCAACATTTTAGATCTTATAAATATATAGTTCAAACAATCCCCAATAAAATACAATGGCCTCTTACCATAGTAGGATAATAGACTACATAGATGTTGTAACCGTACTGTATGGAAATGGTTGCAGAAGCCACCGATACCCACACAAATGTTCTTGGCAGGCCCTACAGAAAGGAGGAGAAGCAAATGTTGGGCTCATTGCCATTCCGTAAAAGCCACTCTGCAAGTAGAGCACGGTAGGTTGGTTGAGCACCGAAAATCCCACCCAACAAACCATCAAGATGTCCATGTGCTGCTCTTCCTCTCCTTCCCCTTCAGTTGCCTCTGAAAAAGAACCTACCAAGTCTTCCCCTCCCCACTCCAATTCCCATTCTTTCACTGGGGAAGGGGATCAGAGCAACAAACAGATTGCCACCGGGGTTGCATTTTGTGTTTATGTTTATTGGATTATCCTCCAAGAGTCATTCCTGCCACATATAGGAGTGCCCTTTCAGCACCTGGCATGCACCTTGGTAACTCTTCTAGATTATAGAACACTCCCACTCTCCCACTCCCCTGTGGGAGAAATAGGATAATGACCTTGAAAGGTGACTGTTGACTCTATCACCTTCTCTAAGGAGAGAATAATGTCTTTGCAGGATCAGACCAGCATCGTTTCACTAACTGCAGCAAACCAGTCAAATGCCTCCAGAAAGCCCACGCAAGGGAAAAACGTAGGAACAAATATAGGGAAAAATCCCTCACTGCTTGTCCACCAGCATCTGGCATTCAGAGACAGGTTTCTTCTGAACACAGAGGTTCTCCGATTTAGCTAGCATGGCACATAACCATTTATAGATTGGTCTTTCCCCATGAACCTCCAAACCCTTTATTCAAATCCAATATAAGTTCATGGAAAATTTTGGTAGTGGGAAGATCAGAAGGGAATTGATTTAAGTATTTCAGCACAGCTATAGCTAGACAGAATTTACAAGCTTTATCCCCAGTGTGATGGATTATATAAACATTCCCAGAATTGGGGAAGTGTAGGGTCAGGCTGGGCAGCCACATCATTCTACTTAGGTTACCCATACACTGGTGCTAAGGAAAGAGCAGACAAAAAGAACCCTGCCTTACCATCACTTTCTCTTAGTGTTGAAAAGGGGGAAAGGCAGCCTCTTTTCTTTTGAAAGAAAGCCCTTGGAACTCTCAACAGCAGTGCAGGATCCAATTGGGGAAAGGATAATGGAAGGTTCCAGAAGAAGCTGTTGACAGTTGGAAGCTGAGCTGAGATGCACAACATCTGTTAAGAAAGGGAACTGGCCGGACGTCTTATCCCACAATGATTTTTTATGGGTTAATTTTGGGTGTAATAAAGCTAGAATAGCATTATGGTGAGGTGACTGAACTGGTCCTGGGCAAACCACTTTCTCTCTCAGCCTTAATTCTTGTAGCTGTATTATGGGGGGTTCTAATACGGACCTACCTTCCAGGACTGTGGTGAGGATCGCTATATGTTTGAGAAGCAATATGAACACTTGAAAGTGCTGTACAGATGCTTAGATTCCATTCCACTTCTCATATTCGTTGATTCTGCATTTCTTCATTACCTGCCTGGCATTCTAGCTGCTGCACCGTGCTGCCTCCCCATGGATTTAGCGTCAATGGGTCATGGACCACTAGGGAAACTCCTCTCCATAAGTTTCTCAGACGATGTTTAAGCCATCTTCGTAGAGCCCATATTAGCAAAGGAATTCCATTGATTGTCAATGGAACTACTAATTCCCAAATGTATAGGCCATTCATTGTTATTGTTACATGCTGTTAAGTTGTGTCTGACTTACAGCAACCCTAGGAATAAGTGGCCTCCAGATTGTCTTGTTCTGGACAGCCCTGCTCAGCTCTTGGAAACAATTGCTCATTAGTAACGCACTTCACAAATGCTCAGAGCCATTGTGTTCCTTTCTAGAAAAGCATTCCTTTATATAACTATTTAAAGGCACCATGGGGAAGCTTGCTTTTGTGAGGGGCTGCCTTCTGGTAGCAGAAGTGTTCCTGATGCATGCACATGTTCTGAAATTCCAGTCAGTGGGAATGATGCATCCAGTTGTGATTCCCTCTCAGGCATGCTTTCCTTGAAGAAGAGGAATAGATTTACTGATTAGAGCAATGATGTAGATTAGTAGATTACAGTAAAGATGTACTCAATAGCTTCATGCATCATTCTGGAATGGCTGAACAAAGCATGGATATGCTTCTGCCTTCAGGCATTACTAAGCAGTTCCATGTTCCAGAGAAATTACAGTGGCTGAGTCTCATTATTACCTTTACTTATGTCCTGCTTTGCAGGATGAAATCCTGCCAAGTCTGCAACAGAAATAGATTGTTGATGATGAGGATGATGAAGATGATGATGATGCATATTACAGGGCAGGGGGTGATAGAAAGTCCTTTGGGAGGAAGGAGGGACAAGCCGGGAGAGAGCCACCTGCCTCCCTCTCTCTTCTGGCATGTTTCCACGGTTCAGAGGAAATTTGCATCCGGAGCCTCATAATTCTCACACTCTTCCCATTATATCATGCAAACTCAGAGCACAGCTTCTGCACACCAAAGAAAGTGAAAGCCAGGCACTATCACTCCACCGCCTGGTTGGCCCTGCAAACAAAGCCTCCCTCTGCTGGCTTTCCTTCAGGCTTACTTTGGTAGCATATCAATTTTTAAGAACAGGGTCTTTGCTCTGACTTCCACTTTTAACACAAAAGCCACTCAAAGTGGGTGTGGGGGGACCAAAGTAACTAAATGAATCAATTTCTTGCATGGTTTTTCTGTGCAAACCTCTTGGGCAACCTTGGAAGTCATTACCTTAATCCTTTCCCTCTTTCAGACCTGTATCTCGCCCTCCTTCCGGGACCCCAACAATCCGGTGAGCCATCTCTTATCAGCCATCCATTTCACGGTACACATTTGCCCCATTTTGACAAAGATGTGTATGCAAGGTGCACAATTCTTTCTCTATGCACAATGTGCAAAGCGTGTCATTGTTTGCACAAAAGTATGTGAAGTGAGTACTTATTTTTCCACATGCACATATTATGTAATTATTTACACGAAGTATACAAAGTTCACAAGTCAAATGTGAGGAAGTAGACCTCCATTTGAACCCACTTCCTTCTGGATGAGCCTAATTTTCTGCATCCATTTCAGGCAGTGCCCATTAAAAATACTTTGCCACTTTTTGATTTTTGTCAACAGATTGGCAGACACAGGCTGTGTTCACTCATAATGGCACGCCATGGGAAGAATGCCTTTTCATTATGTCTGAATCCAGCAAGAAAGGCAACGTTTGGTTACTGTGAATCCCATGGTGAACCAGCAGTTTGTTCGACGATTTCTGGATTGCTTGTCATGACATGGGAACTCATGTAGTTTCCCCATTTCTGACAGTGAGGTTGAGGGCAAGAGCAGCTGCTGCAGCTGGAGCCACTCAACTCAACATTTTCTGAGGCCCCATTTTGCCTAGCAACTGCTGAGTCGCCAACAGCAGGGAACTGATTGGCTGCCTCTGCCTGCTGCCATGCTTGCCTCGCCTTGCTGTTTGCTGCCTTGCCTGCCACCTCCTTGCTGCCTTGCTGAGATGCCTCTCTGTGTGACCCTGCTGTCTTGCCCCCTCATGAAGCCTCGCCAAGTCCTGTAATTCAGGTTTCTTCAACAAGAGTTCCAGGGATCAAACCAGAATCTTCTGAATGGAACCCTGTATTATAACACAGAGCTACCATCAGCAGAAACCATTGACAACAAGTAAAATGTGCAGATAAGTTCCCAAAAAATGTAATCACAAACCAGAGACTGCAATTAGAAGGTACAGATCTCACTCCCAACCACAAAAGGGATAAAAGCAGGGCTTTTTTTGTCATCGAACGCACTGGAACAGCGTTCCGGCACCGTTTTTTCCAATGGATTTTATGAAGTGATTTTGAATCGTAGCAGATCAGCAGCAAACTTCATTAACATAGTGCCTGCGGGCTGCTTTTGTGTCTGCTATCTGATAGTGAGATAGTGAGTGTGTTGCTCTCGGCTTGGGACGCTGCTCCGCTGCTCGACTTGGGATTGGTGTGTGTGGTCGCACGCTTACTGCCAGTGACAACGTGAGTTCCAGAACCTTTTTTTTTTTTTTACACAAAAAAAGCACTGGATAAAAGACATGACGTGGGGGAGTTAAGAAAAATGTTCTGTTATCCAATGTGCTAGATATGGTGAAAAGTGAGAAAGTTGATTTTTCATTTGTCAGAAACACTACATAATTCCTTATGGATGTGATGACAAAGAATAGGAAGAATGAGCATCATGTTTCTCAGCCCTCTGGTGAGAAATCGGAGTTGACAGTGATGAACACCATGACCTCTGCGTGTGAGGTCAGATGTTCAAGTAATAAGAAGACAGGCCATTAAATGGTTGCCAACACTCTCTAGATCCCTAGACTGTCCAATGGATATGCTACTAGCATCAACATCTGAAATCAAATGCTGAGTATCCACGATTCCAAAATGAACGTGGGTTTGGATGTTTTGGTAAGGCCATGTTAAACCTACTTTGTGTGAAGCCTCAGTGGGTGCATTCTAGTTAGGTTGACCAAGGAGACAAGTCTTAGCAGACCTGCATTGAATGTGAACTGATCCAGAGATTATGTTATGGATGATTATCAGCCATAATAGCCAAATGGAGTTTCTTTGTTAAGGATGGGCATATAAGCTCACAGCATTTCTCCAAATTCTGCCTCAAATCTTGTTCCGCTTCATGTTCTTATCAGATGTGCGTCTTTATTTTTGTTTCTTTTTGCATGAAATCCATGCATATGGCTATCCATTTTTTAAATGTGCAAATCAGTTGTGCACCACAGTGGGAGAGAGCTATTGCCCTCATGTCCTCTTGGGGAGAATCTACATTGGGATCTTAGGGGGAATCTGCTTTTGGGAGAAAGCTACACCAGGCATGTTTAGCTGCACTAGAATGCCCAACTTCTTGGCATGTCACACGAAGCTCCCCCAGATTGTTGTCCTCATGGAAACGAATAATACATCCAATGCTGCTTCCATATTCCTTCCCTTCTTAGGAACAACTAGCTGAAAAGAGGACCATACATGTCTACTCAGAAGTAAATCACAGTCTCTCCAATGGTGCTTACTGGAAGGAAGTCACATTACTTCCAATAAAACTTAGAGATAGCCAGCTTAGAAATAAATTGCATTATGTTTAATGGCACTTATTCTTGGGAAAGTATGCACAGGAAGAGAGATTATTTTGGGTGGAGGG